GGACACCCATCCCAGCCTACTCAGAGAACTCTAGGCCAGTGGGAGACCTCATCTGAGAAAAATGAAGTGGGTGGTGCCTGGGATAGAACAACACACAAGCTGTCCTCTGACTTCCAGTAAATGTGCACACATGGATGTGTATACACACATGAATACACACATGAGCAAAGATGAAGATTGGAAAGCAATTTGGGGGTCAAGCCAGGGAAAACTAAAGGATAGACAAGAACACGAGCTCCTTCCTACAAGAAAACTGGAGTCACCCAAAAGCATCAAGGGACTGAGTGGTCATTAAAAAGGCCTCTTCTTCTATGGGAGAGTAGGAACAGGAAAGTCAGGCCAAGGTTAAGGCTGAGGCTAAGTGGGAAATATGGGGTTTTTCACCAAGAATGGACAGGACCAGAACAGAGTGCTACTTGTGAAGTTCTCAGTGTCATCAGGGCCTAGCAAAGCTGTTACCCAAATCTCATCAACCCTGCAGGCCCAAAGTCAACGTGATCACCCACACTTGGGAATGGTTAAACCAGCTAGGTCAACGTGATCACCCACACTTGGGAATGGGTTAAACCAGCTAGGGGCATTGCCTTATAGGTATGTGTGAGACAGCAAGAAAAGACTCAATCCAGAACTGGTATCTGTAGACTTCATGTCTTAGGTACTTTCCCCAACAAGACCTCCTGTGACATACCCTTCCTGCATGAGATCTGAAGACCTATGTGAAGTCAGTATAAGTTTCATCATGCCACACTGTCTGCATTGGGTATATTTATGCCAGAATCAAGAATCCAAGCAGTAAAAAGGGTGTCTTTTCAGATTCAGCCCCTCCACTCTCAGTAGCTCACAGCAGCACTCCATCCTAACTCCAGAATCGCTGCCCGTACCTCAGTGGTTATAACTATCTACCCGGAAGTCATGATTCTCAAAAGCTATGACATACAGGCCATCTGTATGCTGCTTGAAGCCTTTCTTCAAATCTGACAGTAATACCTACAATCAGAGACAGAAAAATCCTAAAATATATGTAAAGCATGAAAGACAACTCTTCGAACCTCCCTTCTTCTCACTACTGTGTCTTTGTGACAGGGAGTGACAGGGAGCACTCACTTCTGCCACAAGTGTCCTTCACTGGAATAACTAACTTCTGAAGGGCATTGAGAGGTTACATCGACCAAATATATTTTAAACCCCAAATGTCCTTCAAGATGAGTCGCATGGGGCTCTTTTTTTCTCTTTCTTACGCAGACTGTGTTTGCCCTTGGTCCAACCCTGGAGCTGCCTCCTTGGCAGCTCACTCTACATCTCCTAGCCTCAGACCTCCTAAGCTGTTCACTCAAGTGACACTAGATTGGAAGGGTGGCCTCCGTATCATTAGGCTAAGTCTCTGTAACTTCAGAAGCTAACTTAGTTTACTGGGTCACTTCTACGTACAAGAACTATCATTGACAAAAGCGATACTATTTCATTATATTCGATGCTTATCCTTAAAGTACATATCAAATCTTACACATTCTAATCTATGCGCACAGATATCTCAAAGTGGGCAATGATGTTCAAGTGGCCAGCTTGTTCCAAAGCAACCGTCTCTTTGCAAACAGCCAGGCCTTTTGTAAGGTCTGGCCCACAGCACCCAGCTCTTTGTACAGAAAGCATGACAAGGCAGGATTTAAAACTTAGCACCCTCATAGCCTACATGGTAGTTAATGGAAACATGAATGTACCGAAACACTCTGGATGTCCTCTGAATCCACTGACCTGAAAAAGTCCCTTGGCCAATTTGCTTTTTCTAAACATCAAAATAACAGGAGTATACTAAGTCCGTCTGTGCCGTTCTCCTCTGCTCTGTTTTTCTGAGGTCCTTCCTATAGCAGGTCACCTTCTGGGTGACTTCAGGCCCACCTGCCACTTCTTTCTATCCTGGGATGTTCCAACAAAATCAGGAACTCTTAGACATGAAGCAGATGGTAAGGGAGAAGAAGTCTGCAAAGGACATTTCTGTGTTACATAATCCTGGGCATGCGACCTGCTGGCATCAGCCTTGGAGGGAACTATCCCTATCCCTGCAGAGTAAACCAGTGCCCCAAATAGTCATAAAGAACATTTCTTCGGTGTTTCTTTGATAATGAGCATATAATCATATGAGTAAATATACTATTTAACATTTTATAGTATATAACATTTTAGTAAATGAAAGATTGGAGGACAGCATTTCACACATTGTGTGTATGCCGCATATATGTGCATGGTGTGCATGATATGAATTCATCTTTCTGTGTGTGCATGTGTGCCCATATGTGCATGTCATAATACACACGTGGAGGTCAGAGGACCTAGGTGTTAGTCATTTGTTTGAGAGAGTATATCTGTGTCGTTCTCTGCGGCATTCGCCAGGCTGGCTGGCGCATAAGCCTCCAAACATTCTTGTCTCTCTTATAGTGTGTTGTTGGAACACTGAGCACACAGATCTGTGCTCCCACATCCAGCTTTATTTGGGTCCTGGGACTTAACGTCAGGTCCCCATCTTTGCATGGCAAGCACTTTACCCACTGAGCCATCTCCCCAGTCCACGAAGCAGATTCTTTAAGATATTTTTCCTTGATTTACTCAATAACGGCTCATGGAACAGCAAATACCTTCTACACCTTGAGCCAGGCCCTGTGGGACAAGAGACTTGTGTCACCAGTATAATTCAGTTATTCCCAGGTCTTCCCATTTCCATGCAAGGAATACTGAAGTGTGGCTTGTCTGGGACCAGAACAATATAGCATGCTTCTGGGCAGGATTACAGAATTGATTGTGTGATACGTGAACCACTTTCTTGAGAGCAGTGATCCTATAGGACCAAGCTTGAACAAGCCTCTATCAGTTTAGGGCCTGAGTGACGACAGCCTGGCTTTTCTATTCAGCAAGCCCAGGAAAGAAATTGTTGGGCACTGATATGTGGAATACTCCTCACTACAGCAAAATCTGTAACACCTCAGTACTTAAAAGTGAGTGAGAAGAAACCTACAAAAGTCTACCTGTCCCCATCTGCTTTCTAAATCAAGTGACATAGAAATGGAAATGTTATTTTGAGCTTGATGCACAGCTGACTGCTGAACAAGAAGAAGGTCCAGGTAGAATACTCAAGAAGAAATGAAAAGAGAATGGCCTCCCTACATTGGTGGAGCCTCAGCAGCCCTGGAGAATCCAACTGAAGAGTTCAATGTCTGTAAAGAAAAGGCTACTCCTGACCCAGCCCAGCCATTTGAAGAATTCAGAACATCCTAAAGAAAAAGACAACCAAGCAGAGATTGTGTGAGCCTCCTCAGACGTCCAGGGCTTCTCAGTTACTTCCAAGTAAGACCTGCATTTCTTTGTCTCCCAATAAGCTCTTTGAGGGTGATTCATGGACTGTATCTCTACCCATCACTCACCCCTTGGCACCTCTAACAGAACCTGTATCAATAAGTGCCCCACAGCATCTGCTGGGTGAACAAGTAAGCACTGGAATCAAAGGTCAGCTATGCCAACCTAGGGCTAAGCCCAGCTCTGTATACCCCCAGGAAGAAGAGACTCCTTCTGAGGGTGGGGAGGAGCCAATTTAACACATTTCATTATGAGTTATCACAGCACATGATGAAAAATCTCAATAAAACCTAATACTACACTGTGGCTATCCTTGTTCTTGGACATGCAATTACTTGTGCAGGCAGCTGTTTTCCTACATGGAAAATTGTATGTGAGGGTTTTTTTTTCCTATTAAAAAGCCACACCCTTGATTCTATTGCATTATTACATTCCCTGTTATTCCATCACATGGTTTTTCTTCTTGCTGTAATCCAGGACACACCCTGAATTACTGCTGACAGAAAAAAAATCACCTGTCAAAATACCTTCGTGTTAGTAATCTTGTCTCTCCAAAGCAGTAGCCTTTGTTTTCACTAGAACAAAATGAGTGCCCCACTTCTAATGGTTTTCCAAGTGCTCAGTAGAAGGACCAATGTTGGTGTCACTCCTGGTTTTAAAGTCACCTTTCAAAGCAAAACTATCCTAGAACAGAATGACAGACATCTCAAGCTTTTTAATTTTATTTTTAAAGGGATTTTGGAGAAAAACTGTGACGAGCATCCACTCTGGTCCTTGATGCTGATATACTGCAAAAGAGATCCCAGGAGTCGACGGCCTTCAACAATCTGACCTCCCTACAAGGAAAACCTGGGTCCAGCCCATGGGATGCTAAAAGCTCTGGATTCTAGGAGGGCATGCCAGTGCTGTCCTGGTATGTGTGTCCTGATATGTCTGAAGGTGAGGTTTCCATGAACTCTGTCATGATCAGGTCAGAGTTTGGGGGAAGGAGCCAAAATCTAAAGATAAAATGGAGGAGAGGCTAATATAAAGAGGTTCGTGTCTCTATAAAGGGAAACGTAACCAAAGCTCTGTCTTCCCTGTGATCTTTCTGCTCCTTCCCAGCAGCCCTCTCTGCTCCCTGCCAGTAATTTAGCATCAGCCCGCCCTGCTCGAGACTTTCACAATGAAAAGATGGGAGAGAAACAGTTCTTCCTTCTCAGAAGGCCACTGCACTTGGTCAGTGCCCTAACTGAGCACCGGTCAAATATCTCATCAGCTTCACGATTATCAGCTTTCCCACGATGTCTTTTTATTAGATGACACCTCTACACAAAAACAGTCTTACATGCAAGCCCGTATTCAGGTACAACTGTCTGTGTACTGACAGCATCAACATTCACACCATCCACTGGAGCTATCACAGCTCCAATGGAAGTGGTTCCCAGTGACCTCTCCAAAAGGAAAGGATGAAGTCATTTGCAATGTTGGTGGAACAAGACATTCAAGTGAAGTCCCAAAGGTAGGACAGACTTTGTTTGCTTGCTTGGGTGGCCCCCACTCCCTCATAGATGGGAATGCTGCAAAAGCATAAACACCCAGGCAGCCCTGTGTCAGCACTGTGGGCCCAAATGACACAGAGACACCCAGCCAGTTACCCAGATCATTGGGGTTACCTGAATCTGTCACGTGTCCCTTTCACCCCCTTCTGCGTGATGACATCAAGTGGAAACGACAAGCGCTTGGGAGGCAAGAGGCTGACAAGCAGGAAGCGCGATTGAGACCCAGCTTTGTTCAGCCTGCAGTGAAATACATGCAGTAAGGGTTAGATACTCCCAGCACAGACAGAAATCCAAGCACCCTCCGAGGCCACTGGAACACGAGTGGGTGTCCCGAGAGGATGAGAATGGAGAGTAGAAGGCGGCTGGTAGGACAGGGAGGGGTCACTAAGGCTCTCCCGGATAAATAACCACCTCCTGGCTCCTCTGCAGTCTACCCCGCCCCCGCCGCGCCCCCAAGTTCTCCCGCGGTAAAGCGGCTACGGTCAACAGTAATGCCTCAGAAAGATAGGAGTCGGGATGGAGAATACCATCATCATTTTAAGGCAAAGAAATGCTAGCAAAATACACGAGTTAAACCCACACAGCTGGCAATTCGGGGCGTGTAGTCACCCGCCCAGACACACACATCAGGGATGAATCTGAGAGCATCCTTTCGTTGCCCCGGCCACCACCTCATTAAGTCACTGTCACTGTTTTGTCAATCACCCTACTGTTTCCAAATCTGTGCAGCGCTCCCCACCACCACACCCCCACGGTAGGCGGGATCCCGAACCAACACTATCCGAGAAGCTCCCCACAAGTCCAGCCGGCTTTGTCCTGCTGCTGTCCTTCCAGGAGGAAGCGCCTCAGGCCCGTGGGTCCGCACAAAAGACCCCCAGAATCTGGCCTTCCACTCGGCCCCCTTTTTCCAATAATGCCTTGGGGGCAACTTCTAGCAGGGAATCCGGGAGAAGGAGGCAGGACAGGACGGGAGGGGACGACCCAGGGCTTGAAAATGCTGGGGGGGGGGGCACAGCAGGAATGTGCACGCACCTCAAGGGCGCGTGCAGCGCGTGCTTGAGGCGGGCTCCCGGGACCAGAGCTCCAGGGGGCATCCCGGGACTCGGAGGAACCAGAGGAAGCTGCCGCGACCCCATCGCGCTCCCAACTCAAAGCAATGCAGGAGAAAAACCCAACTCCCGGGACCACCTCCTCGGGGGACGACACTCCAGCTCCGCACTCCCCTAATCAAACAGACCACCCCAATCATAGTCCAAGAGGCACCCCTAGATGTATTCCAGGCTACCGTTGCCCTTTCCCGCTTTCCCCTAGGCACAGGCTTCCCCGCGAGTTCCCTCTGCACCCGGGACTTGGGAGCATACAGAACGGGAAAACAAACCGAAACTCACTGACCTCTCTCAGCAGTAGGCTCGGCTCTGCTACGCCGCCGGCGGCTGCAGCAACCTCGGCAGCATCCCGGGGGTCCGCGCTGCCCGCCGCGCTCGGCCAGAGGAGCACCGAGGGCCAGCTGCTGCCTGCTCCTCCCGCCGCGGGTTGCGGGGCAGCGCGGGCAGAGTGGTGGCAGCGCCTCCCGCAGCTCCCAGCTCGTCTCTCCGTTTGCTTCAGGCGGCGCCCTCCACCTGCCCAGCTGCCCTCCGGGTCCACGATCGGACACCCGCCGCCGGGCGCCGGACACTGAGCGGGAGCTTTTGGTGTCACCCCGGGAGACCCAGGCACTGAAGAGGGCGGGAGGCTGAGCTCCGCTCCGCGGACCGCCCCTCCCCGGCGGCTCCACCCCCTCCCGCACTCCACCCCGCAGCTTAGCCGGCACGTCCGACTGTCTGTCTGTCAGTCGGTCCCCAGCGGCCAACCTCTTGGTGTAGGTGGGGAAGCAGGGACGCGCCCTCCACTCACCGTGGACCGGCGAGCACCTGGACTGAGCGCGGAAACAGGACTGAACCCCGGATCAGGTGTGACCTAGAGGCCGAGCAAGCTAGATTGCCTAGCCGAGGTGGTGACCAGCTGCGGCTCCGGATTCGCGACCATGGAGAGGAGGAGGAGGGAGGAGTCTAGACTGTTGCTTCCCCCCCCCCCCCCATCCCTGGGTTCCTTTTGGCTGCCCCTGAAAGTTCACTAACCCAACCAGGGCATGGAATGGGATATGCTCCCAAAGAGGCCCACAGGGACACCACACGTCCTGACCTCGAATAAATGAAGCTCACAGAATATGTGTACAGGAAGGAGCAGGTGCTAGGGGCTATAAAGAAACCGCGAGGGTCTACTAAGCTTATCCTATTGCCCACCTTAAAACCCAACTTCAGGCTCAGTGGTAAAGTGCTTGCTTGCCTGGGGAGCGTGAGTCTGGACTTATCCCCAGTACTCCTAAACAAAAACAAAACTTCTTACCTTGGGGATATCCTTTTAATGTCATGTAACCCCAAGAAAATCTAAAGATAAGCTCTCCTCCTGCTTTTTCACTTAACATATAGTGGGGAAATTGGGAGAAAGGTGTCCCCTGCTGGTCTTGGGCATCTTGTTCTGGAGCCTCTTGGGATCCATTCCATTAAGAAACTGAAAACTGACCAGAGTGTGTGTCTCCTCATCTCCACGGTTCAGCTGAATGATCCCTCTGTTAACGCACGGAAGCAGATGGTTTCTCCTAGGCTTCAGGTATTGAGCTCCATTCATGGGTCCCATTTCCTTCCTATACAGCAGTGGTTCTTGACCTTCCTAACGCTGCGACCCTTTAACCCAGTTGTTCACGTTGTGGTGACTCCCAACCATAAAATTATTTTTGCCGCTACTTCACAACTGTAATATTGCTACTGTTACAAATCAGAATGCAAATATCTGTGTTTTCCAATGGTCTTTTGTGAACCCCGAAGGGGTCGTGACCCACAGGTTGAGAACTGCTGCTGCTCCTGAAATCCCGAGAACCATGACGGCTCTGTATGACCTTATGAATCCATGTTGGCAGTTGGTCCTACTTGCTTTGTCCCACATGTGCAACTTGCGAATGGTGTTCCAAGCAGGCTATTAACACACTGGGGAAAGCCTGCATCCGGGAGCCCAGAAAGCTTGTAGGGTACAGTCTCTGGGATCCCAGTAGGAGCCCTGCTTCCTCCAGTCACCAGGCAGACTCTGTTCCCTTATAACCTGTACAGCACCCCTCAAAGGCACTCTATCCGTGTCTTAAGAACCTGAGGTTACTTTGCAGGAATATCTTCAACTTCGACTTTAATGTAGAGAGAGAGAAAAAAAAAAAAAAACTAGCCCAGTTGTGGTAGTACAGGCCTTTATCCCAGCCTGCAGAGGCAGGTAGATCTCTGTAAGTTCGAGGCCAGCCTGCTACAGAGTGAGTTCTAGGACAGTCAGGGCTACACAGAAAAAAACCCTGTCTCAAAATAACAAACAACAACAAAATTTAAAAGTTAAAAAAATAAAATGGCCTTTTGGAGGCAGAGTCTTGCACATATCGCCTAGGCTAAACTGGAATTTATGAGACAGCACAGACAAGCCCTTTTGGTACTCCTCCTGCCTCGCTTTCCCAAGAAGTGGAATTACTAGTTTTTAGTTATATTTTATTTAGGGAGAGGGATGCACACCTGTCACAGTAGAGGTTTGGATGACAAGTTGCACTTTCAAGAGTCAGTTCTCTCCTTCCCCAGGTGACTGAACCCAGGCCATCAATCTAGGACCAGGCGGTCTAGGACAGGCATCTTATTCACTGAGCCATGTTGTGGACTCTGGAAAAATAATAACAATAATGAGAAGCCAGGCAGGGTATTAACAACTCAGATGTTGGTCAGGGACTTGAAATAAATAAGGTGATTCATAACACCCCAACATTTTACCAGCAGAGCTTAGCCCAGAAATATTATTATGCATGAGTGCCTCTCAAGATTGCTTTTAAGAAAGTAATTTCAGGATTCAGTAATTATTCTAAAATGTTTCAAACTCCCCCCAGTTGCTTTCTAGACAATTCTTTGGGGTGAGAAATGCAAGGATCCAGCATGTGAAAGGTTACCACCTCCAACTTTATTCATTTCCACTGGCTGGGATTTTAATTCACAGAGCATCATGGGTGTTCTGCCTTCTGTCCAGTCTTGTAAAGCTGTCACACAGAGAAGGTTAATTAACTGGGGCAAGCTGCAATGGGGCAGTTCCTAAGAGACACTGGAGGTCAGAATCTGGACAGGTAGCTATGGTCTAAGTCATGGCAAGAACCGGCAGAACATGTTGTAACAAATTCATCTGTGAAACAGCCAGGAGCAAAGCAGCTAGGACCAGTCTGCTGTAAAAACGCACAAGCCGGCAAAGTCCTGCCAGAGGAGCTGCTGTTGCTCTCACAAGCCACTGTGCATGTGTGAGAGAGAAGCAGTGAGCGCCTGAGGTTAAGAGACAGGTGCACAGGACAGGAGACGAGGTAAAGATACTAACCCCGGGTCTAGAGAGCTGCTTGGTTGGTAAAGTGCAACCTGTGCAGACATAAAGACCTGTGTTTCACCTCCCAAAACCCACACAAAAAGGCCAGTGTGCTGGTGTGCACTTCCGATCTGTGCAATCCTAGCACTAGGGATGTGTAGACAGGCAGATCTCTGGGGCAAGCTGGGAGCCAGGCTATCTGAATCAGTGAGCTCCTCCAGTCAGTCAATGAAGAGACACTGTTATATAAATCAGGGTGGATGGCACCTGAGTAATAACACGTGAGCTTAACCTCCGGCCTCGGCACATACATGTGCACTTGGACACACATGATCCAAATACTGATGAATTCAAATAGCCAATAGTCATTAAATATGGATTATGTTCTAGGAGGGTTAGGGTGCAGGGTGGGGTGGGGTGCCACTCTTCTAAGTTCTTGCAGCTACAAAACTCACTTTCCAAATAAAAAGTTTTGTTTTTTACAATAAAGTGAATCGCATGTGAGACAATGAAAAGAGTGTGGGGAGAAAGGGTGATGAAGCGTGCGTGCGTGCGTCTCTGTGTGTGTGTGTGTGTGTGTGTGTGTGTGTGTGTGGTCTGTGTATGTGTGTATGGTGTGTGTGTGCTGTGTACTGTGTGTGTCCTATGTGTGTCCTGTGTGTGTGTGCGTACTGTGTGTGTAGTGTGGTGTGTGTGTGCTGTGTGTGTGGTGTGTGTGCTGTGTGTGTACTGTGTGTGTTGTGTGTGTGTGGTGTGTGTGTGGTGTGTGTGTGGTGTGTGGTTTGGTGTGTGTGTGTGTGTGCTTGCTGTGTGGTGTGTGTGTGTACTCTGTGTGTGTGCACTCTATATGTGTATGTGGTGTGTGTGTGCTGTGTGTGTATGCTCTGTGTGGTGTGTTGCGCACTCTGTGTCTGTGGTGGTGTGTGTACATGTGTGAGTGTGTGCTCTGTGTGTATAGTGTGTGTGTGTGTGTTCTGTGTGGTATGTGTGTGTATAGCACTGTGTGTATGGTGGTGGTGGTGGTGGTGATGTGTGTGTGTATGTGTGTGCTATGAGTCTGTATGTTGGGGGAAACCTTGACCAGAGAAGTCTCACTCACAAGGAGCTTTTGGATGTAAGATTTGAAGGCCACGATGGAGCACACAATGCCAAGAAAAAGAGGAGAAACCATTCTGAGTATCTGCAGGAGTGGAGAGGAGGAGTGTATTTGGCAATGGATCAGAAGGTCAGTCAGCCCCACGACGCTGAAGGATGCTAAGGTTGGTAAAGGACAGAACTAAGGTCTTAGGTTTGTACCTGTAGCGTGAAGCAGAGATGCTCCACAGGCGTGGGGCACTGAGCAGAGCACTGAGTCTCTGAGAACCTAGGGTGGCGCTAAGACCATTTAGACGCCCAGGCAGAGCTTCTATCAAGATGACACTGGCACAGAAGAATGTGATTCGGATGTAGAACACAGATCACTTTGTGATCCTCTTCCTGGTCTTTGAGGGCAAGGATCATCTTTCAACTTGTACCATCAGCAACTGATTCAACAAGGAGGGACAGGGACAGGAGGGAGTCAAGAAAGAAGAAACAGGAAGTAGGATGAGGAACTGGGCCAGCCCTGTCCTGTGCTCTCACGTCTGCCCACTCAAATGCCTGCGTGCTCAAATGCAGCCTGATGCTGAGGGAGAGCTTCTGGGTCAACATGTAGCTGGCTGTTGCAAGCTGCCCTTTGCAAAGTAAGGTCTTTCTTCCTCCGCCTTTGCCTGGCATCCTCAATCCTAAAAAGGGACTAAGATGTCAACTGCCAAGTCATCTTTCCTCATATCTATAGAACGCAGAGCAAGTGTGAACTTTAGAAAACATTAGAATGTGTGACACCCCTCCTCGTCCTTTAGTTCTGTGCTGTAGCTGACAGCTGAAGCAGGAATGTTGCTCTGATGTTTTGTTTCTGATGGGTTTTATCAGCATCGGGGATTACACCCAGCACTTCATGTGTGCCGTGCAGGCAGTCTGCAGCTAAGCTACACCCCAAACCCGCTCCACTCTTTAACTTAGAGAGAAGTAATATGCTTGTAACTAACTCCAAGAGGTCAATTGTGAGAGAAGCAATTGTGAGAGAAGAGAGGAAAAGGAACCCACAGATCCTGGATGACAGGACCTCCCCCTGTATGACAAGATTTGCATAGCATGCTGCCTTCCTTCTAGAAACGTCCTTTGTACCTCTGAGTGTCCAAGGTGAGACTCTGAGGTAGCATAGTCCCATCTTCTCAGATGTCAGCCCTTGAAGAGTGTTGGTTTTCTTCCTGCCAATATTGTCTCCTGAGTGATGGCACTGAGGTGGTGAGCATCCGGCATGGAAGTGGTATCAGACCTGCTGGAATTTATTTGTTAAAAAGTGGATCTTGATCCTGGGTCATCTGAATCACAATATTTGTACAACCCAATAGTTTTAAAGTCATATTAATTATTGCGGGGTATGTGCTACAGCGTGAGTGGGTGTCATATGACGACGTGTGGAAGTCCATTTTCTTCTTCTACCACATGGGCCCTGGGGTCAAACTCTGGTTATCAGTGTTGGGGACAAGTACCTTCACCCACTGGGCCATCTCATCAGCCAGCCCAATCAATTAAATAAACAGGAAGGCATTCTACATTTTAAACACGCGTGTCTTAGAACCTGTCAGTTAAATCACAATCAAGTTGTTTAAAAACATCAGAGTGGAGATCTACATCCAGACAGCTTTCACAGGCTGTCAGCACCAAGGCAGAGAGCCATCCTCGGCAAGCACCAAGGCGGAGAGCCATCCTCGGCCAGCACGTTAGCTTCCTTCCCGGTCAGTCTTCTGTCTACATCTCGATGATGTATCATTGGTTACCACGGAGTATACGTACTCTAAAAATTATCCAAGATTATTTATTCATAATGAATGTAAAATGAGATGTCCATTTCAAAAATGGTTATTTGGGCCTCTACAAAAATCCAGGCCCAACAGACCTATTATGCTGGCAAAGAGTTCTGAATGGGAGAGACTCTATATTTGACATATTTTCTTATCTATGTAGACCCAGTGTTATCTAAGGACAATGACATCTCATCTCAAAAAAAAAAAAAAAGATAGCAAAGCATTTTGAGTACTTCAAAACATTTTCATGGAAACTACATCTAGGATTGCTTTCTAAAAGCAGTTGTGGGCCGAAATAAACATCTTTGATTTGCACAAAACACATTCCAAAGGGAGATCTCTCAGTTTGAGTTCTGACTATAAACAATCCCTATGGTAGTTACGGCTTCCTGTCTGAATTTCTACAGTAGCAGGTCTCTGCTGTTTTCCTACTATGTTCATGTGGAATGCGTAGCTTCTCTCTCTTCCCATTGTCTCCCACCCCTGTTATCTGTGCTAGCTTCCTTCTCTGTAGATGTCCCCACTTCTGCTCACTCACACAGCAACCACAATTTTCCTGATCTTCCCTTCCCACCATCCACCAGGTGCTGGTGTTGACAATCTCTCACCTTCATTTGTCCACCACTCCTACCTATGAAAGAACCAAGAGAGTCTGTTATTGAACTTAGAGATCATAATCTGTGCGCCAAGTCATGTCCTGACACCTGTCCTCAATAAACCGATCAAAAGACCCGAATTAAAAGAGGAAAGCAGAAAAAGATTCATTCAGTGTGGCTACATTGGGAAGAAAGACAAAGAGATCCAGAAATACCTACCTACATGCCAGATACAGCTTCCTGGTCCTGAGTGAGAGCAGAGCTTAAATGGAAGACCAAGGATATGTGCATCTAAGCAGTCCTGATCAAAACATGGTCCCACCCACCACTGACCCGTCTTTGTCTGAGTTTCAGTCTCATTCCCTAATGTAGTCAGACAAGTTGTTACAATTGTGCGAAATCTCTTTCCAGGAGAGAAGCTCCACCTCTGGCTGGCACTTTTTTCTTCTCCCAGCATGAGATTCTTGGCAAAGTTTTGATTTCATTGGTGCCCACTATTTCTATAGTCTGATAGTCAGATTGAGATACATAGGGTCCCTTTGGAATGTCTCCGTCTGCTAAGCTGGTTACAGTTCTACTCCATTTTTCAAAACCCCAATTTCAAGCTAGTAACTTGGTTGACCCCAAAAGGTAACTAAACTCCCTACAGCCCCTGTCATCTATCGCCTGTACCTTGCCTAAATAAACCTGGCATCATGTCCAATGTTCATGGCTCCAGGTCCAGAGCTGGCTTCCGCCAACTTCTCTCTACCTTCTCTGTCCTGAGCTCTACCTCTGTCATCATTCAAACCCAAGGGAATCACAATGTCTGCTACTATTGCACCAAGTCCAGCTGAGCTAGTCAGAGTGCCCTCTAGTGGTGAGGAGGGAAAGTGGTGCCCTCTGATCGAGGCCCTGAGGTCAGGCAGGTGTGACCTCAGGAGCCTATGGGACTCCTCCCACCCATTCTCACTTTCTCACTGCTAGAGAGGAGACTAATAACTTGGTATTAACTGTATAAGTTATATAACTAGTAAATAACTAATATTAATTAGTTAATAACTAATAAACACTGGGTTCTCAACTATTTTCTCTAGAAATCTTCAATACCATTTGTGGAGTTTGATGTGCTCACATCTGGTTTTGCTCATTGGTTTGGTTTGGTTTGGTTTGGTTTGGTTTGGTTTGGTTTGGTTTGGTTTGGTTTGGTTTTCTGAGACAAGGTCTCATGGAGCCCAGTGTCTTTGGACCTGTCCTTTTGTGGAAAAATACCATGACCCAGGCATCTTATCACAAAAAGCATTTAATTGCTTACAGATTCAGAGGCTGAGTCCATGACTATCATGGTGGAGAGCAAGGTGGCAGGCAGGCATGGTGCTGAAGCTTACAGTTTTGCTACAAGCAGGAAGCAGAGAGGGGATGAGACTGGATCTGTCATGGGCTTTTGAAACCTTGAAGCCCACCCTCTGTGTCACAGTTTCTCCAACAAAACCACACTGCCTAAACCATCCTAAACAATCCACCAACTGGAAACCAGACATTCAAACATATGAACCTATGGGGAACATTCTCATTTAAACCACCGACACCCAGGCTAGCTTCAAAACCAAAAGAGGATAACCTTTCTTTCGTCTCCCAAGTGCTGGAATCATAGGCATGTGCTACCATGTCTGCCTATAATTTACTGCCTCTTAAGAACATGGCCAGGACAAGGAGATCAGAGAGCAACCCCAGTGAGGCATCCCACCTCAGTGAGCCCCAGGGAATCCTCTTCTTCTGGTGAACACTTACTGATTTGGAAGCAGATTGTGTTGCTCACCATCACCCGCCACATCTCTGTGCTTGCCAGAACCCAAGAGGCAAATGAGCATCCCTGCTTTACAGAGGAGGCATCTGATGCCCAGAGGATGCGGGCAACCTCATTAATGCATTGTGATAGTACACAGTGAACACGCCGTTGCCCCAACTCAGCCAAATATGGAACAGGTCCCTTAGCAATCGCACTGAGTGCAGGCAGCGCTGCTTGGTTAGCCCGATGTGCATCTCAGTCCCCTAGAAGCCATCGCTACTTTAGATGAAGGGTGGCAGGTGACTGACACCACGCCTCCTTCTACCGAAGGGCTCCAAGATTTCATGTGAGTTGACTGTCCCTTATCCACACTCTCAGAGTTTCATGGTTATACTGAGACAGGGTTTCTCTGTGCAGTTCTGGCTATCCTGGGACTCACTTCGTACCCTAGGCTGGGTCCGCATGCCTCTGCCTCCCAAGTGCTAGGGTTAAAAGCAAGCACCAACCCCACTGCCACCTGGCCTCTCAGTGTGTCTCTGTCCCTGTTATTATGCAGCTTCCTAAATTCCATTTAGAGCTGGGCAAGACCCAACAAAGATAAGATACTTGCAAGATTTACAAGAACATTTCCACTTCTGCATATGTTGAATTTTTCTAACCAGATTGATTTTGTCTGCCTGATATGCTCTTTTTCTTACATTTATCCTTATTGTGTGCTACATCACGCTGTAGCTAGCAGCTTGTACCTCTATAGCATGGGAAGACCCCTAAAGACTGGAACTGCATTATTAATCCCTTCACCTACGTACACTCCATGGCATCATGCAGAATACAATGCCATTGCTTGGCATGCAGACTGTACTTAACACATGCGTACAGAAAATGTCCCATGGGAGATTCCTATTTGCCCTTCCAGGGTCACGCTGCCTCCAGCCTTACTCAGAGAACTGTCTCTGAAATGCTTCTTCTCAAATCTGTTACAATCCATGTCCAACAGGTCAGCCAGGGTAGGATTTAGAGTCATTTCCAAATCCATTTACAATGAAAAGGCTGGATACAAGAAAGAGTAAGGGTGGGACAGAGTTGTGATTGGCTTTATAGGGATATGCAGGGGTCCCAGTATCAATTCTTCTCCTACTCCACTTTTATTACATTTATTTACTGAATTATGGATAATGTGTATGAGACAACATATGTGTGGAAACCAAAGGATAACTTACAGCAGTTGTGGGTCTCTGGATTGAACTCAGGTCATGGGCTTAGTTATGGGTACGTTTACCCACTGAGCCATCTTACCTACCACCAGTACTCAATTCTCACCAAGGGGTCCTTACTCTGTCTTTTGCGTTGGTTAGCATCTCTCAAACCTCACAAGTTGAAGACTTTAGGACGTGAGCATATTTGGAGACAGAGGCTAAATCAAATGAAGTCATGAGGTGAGTCCTGAATCAGACTGAATAATATTCACATGAGAAAAGGAACACAGGACACAAACAACTAAGCAAAGGAAAGACAATAATGTGGAGACAGAGGGAGTGGACAGACCTCTGCAAGCCAAGGAGAGGGACCTGAAACCCGATTTCTTTCACAGCCCCTGAAGGACTCAATAGTGTAGAACCCTTAATCTCAGGCTTCTCTCTCCAGAAATATGAGGCAATGCATTTGTCATATAAGCCACCTAGTCTACAGTGCTGATTAAGGCAGCCTTGACAGACTCATCTACCTAGAACTCTTGTACTCGAAGAAAATTGGATCCCACAGCCCACACTGATTGATTGTGTCTGGGCTATTTATTTCCTGTGGGCTATTTATTTCCTGTGTTTACCTACATGGGAAGCCTAATGGAGACAATGAAGAAATGATGCATTTACCCATTCAGGAGGATTATTACCGGTGAAACACTCACTGTTTGTTGTGAGTTGTGTCAGCTCAATGCAATAATATAAATAAATGGCTGTACTGGGTGTTTTGTAAACATCGTCTCAATCCACCCAGCCACCCAGCTGAGAGGCACTGTTCCCCTCAGTTCACAGAGGTAGAAATTGAGGCTTAGAGGTATTTATGGGAATTTCCAAGGATGCACTACTATTCAGACTGAGGGCTCAGCAGGTGCCCACTGGCCATCAGTTTTCTTCTTCTTCTGCACAGCGTGAGCTGTGGAGCATCCTAACCAATCTAGCAACGGTGGACAGAACCATTTCTCTTGTCACTGGTCAGTATGAGAATGAAAATGTAATCCGGTGTGTGCAGTGGGGATGGGGAAGTCAGATGGATGGGTTCTTCTCCATTAAAAAAAGACAGTAACTACAAGAAAAAAAAAAAATCTACAAAGCAGTAACTCCTCTCCTGTTGCTAGATGTTATACAACCCACGTGTGACATCACAATGGTTACTACAACCTGGTGACAGGGGGCGGGGCACCAGAGCTGATGGCATTGATTGGCCGAAGCTGACCAACCCAACCATGGCCTTGCTCCTGTTCCTCACTAGAAAACCATTCTTAATGTTGAAGCACTTCTGTGTTGCTTTAGCTCCTTACAGGTGAAGTTTTCTCCAGATGCTAATTCTACAAGTACACTTTGATTTCTTTATCGTAAGAGGCAGTTTTGATAAATAATGAAAGCCAGTTGCTTCAACATCACTGGCCTGCAGAATTTCAACATCCAACAAACAATTTTTTTTTGTTTTCTTTGCTCTCTGAAGAAAGAAATTGAAGAAGACCTCAGAAGATGGAAAGATCTCTCATGCTCATGGATTGGCAGGATTAATTTAGTAAAAATGGCCATCTTGCCAAAAGCAATCTACAGATTCAATGTAATCCTCATTAAAATCCCAACTCAATACTTCAC